GTATGCGCCACGATACATTGTTTCCCACGTAGAAGAGTGAGGATGGTCGATATCGCGGAGGGCAGACCGGCCATTCTACATCGGCAATTTGCATGACCGATGATCGAGCACTGGTGCACTGGCAGTGGACTAGGTGCATCGTCATTACGCACTGGCCAGATACGATCAAACTGTCGGTAATGATAGTCGCGCGACCCGGCGCACGTACGACGAACGCCAGGGTCGCGTTTATTAAATTACGTCAAATTATTGGTACGCTTCGAGGGTCGATTATCGAGGCTGCTCGTTCGACCGCCGAGGGATCGTTCTCCTTTTCCCCGATTACCGCGGGAAACCGGCGCGAGGTAGTAGCTGAGATCTTCATGCTCTCGGACACGGCTCTTTGCCGATCTATCGTCCGTTTATTCCGACGCGATTCCTCGCGGAAGACGGAAAGGGAAAGGGAGAAATGAACGCGAGAGCAGGTTAGACGCAAGAAAATCCCTCCTCGCGGAGAGAGTAGACACTTCTGATAAATGATCATACAGCGGGACTCTGATTTAACTCGCATTCAGATGAATGGATTCAATTGACTAAACATTAATTAAACTTTCATTTGATTAAACATTAATTTCAATATCATGTACGATAAATGCAATAAACACAGTATTCCAATAAATGAATTACTGTGCCTGAGCTGGAGTCGACATTAATTTAACGAACTCTTATTTATTGAGATTGTTTTGAATTTTTCACTACGTGAACGAAGAGATATTGGCAGGAAGAGTCGGTGAACTTTGCTACACGATTATTATACATCAGTTTTGTTCCGTTTTATTTGTATTTGGATTCTAAATTTATTTATTACTTCACTTCGTAGTAATAAAATTATCCCATATTTATTTTGGTCCTCTTTAGTCTACTTTCTTTGAGACATGGACTTTTCGTTTCAGATTCGAACCGACGAAGGGCTGAAGAAGGCAATGAGCGGTCCGGATGGGGCGTCAAGGATCTCCGATGTCTTCGATAAATCAAAACTCGTAGCCAGAGCTCAACAACGATGGAAGAATAGATGGATCCAGAGTCCGTCGACGATCCCACCATTTATCCCTTTCCTCATTTTTCTTTTTTCTCTCTCTCTCTCTCTTTCTTTCTCTAATTCATCGCAGACGCGACAGCCATTGGAAAAGCTAATCTTTCGAACCACTCTCGCATCGAACCTGCAAGGGATTGTTAGAACGAGAAACGAGGAAGAATTACGACCGGATGCTGCATGCTTTCTGCGAATTTGTCGATCGAAGATTTGGATTCAACTTTCACCTCGAAGACGAGGCTGTGACGGCGTTAACTGGATGACCCGAAGAAAGCAGAAGTGGCACTCAGAAGACGGCGTTCACGACTTGTGATCTAGGAAGATCTCTGTAGCTTTAGAATAGAATAAATCTGGTATACATGCTTCATTGAGCGACGATAGGAAACAAGATTAGATAGAAAGAGAACTCAGGGAACGATCTAACAAGCGAATTTGTTTTCCCACAAGAAATAGAGAAACTGTAATTTAGAAATAATCTTGTAAGTTTTTTTTCTTTTTCTTTCTTTATAAAGATAAAATTCGTTCGATCAAAGTTTGAGCGGCTACAGAGATCTCGAGAAATTGTAATTAAAATCATTAAATACGAATAGGAAAGATAATAGAATTATGTCGTCTTCGAAACGAAGAGAACAATCAATCGAACGATCGATGAGAATGTGGGGACGGTTTTATAAAAATCACCGTTTTTAACTAAGAGAACAAGAAACAGCGAATGTAGCAGATATAGAGGACGAAGCGATCGATTTTCCGGTAGCAGTTTCTCGTGACGCAGAAATCATCAAGTACACGATTAGCAGAAAGATTTACGGTAACACGCGCCGTTAGTTAATCTAATATGGAGCGTAGTTAAGGATTATGAATGCCATAATAATGACTAACTTCTTGTGGTTGTACTTAAGTCATACCTTTACATTTTAACGTTTACGTTTAAGGCCAATTAAATATGTAAGTTGCATAATAATTTCACTATCGGAATGTCTTCGAGTTTAATTGCTAGGCATTTATTTCTACGTTTCTTTTTTTTTTTTTTCTTTGTTAATTTCAATGGTTCCCGGTACCCTGAAGATTCCGTGACGACAGTCGTCGACTCACTAGATCAGAGGTTTAACGAATTCTGATTCTTTTTTCTCTGAAAGAAAATTTTCTGGCAGACGATTCGCCTCTCGAAGAGAACGAGAGCTTGACAAATCACCAGTCGTTTGTCACAGCTCCGGCTTCGACATTCTAGCCTTTTACTCACAGAACGATGAAATATCTTCTTTTTCTTTTTTCTTCTTTTCTTTTATCTCAGTTAATTATCGAGTAAAAATTCGAATCGCGTAATCGATTGGTTCTGCAATTTTTTTCTCCGACTGACAGTTCAATTTCTGTATCCAGCGTTTCGAACGAAGTCGACGAAAGGCCTGTGAGATTGCGCAAAAGAACTGTTTAACGAACTCTTATATCGGAAATCAGGTATCGAGACCGCCTGTGCCGTTTCATGGCTCCGGCAAGACTCTGCGCACTGGACCTTGGTCTCACTTTTGTGATTATTATTTAAGTTAGATCTTAAGTGTACGCTAGGTTAGACTAGGCTTTTTACAATGTTTCTCTATGTTTCATTAAAAAGAAACTCCCTTTCATTATCACTCCTCCCTCGCCGATGAAAATTCTACGAGCGAAAGCAATCAACGAATCATATCGTCGACGATGCGAACATAGCTAATAAATATTCGAGCGGTTGACAAAGATAAACAGAGCCCGTGAATATGAAGCGAGGATTATATATGCATTTATACCATCTCGCCTAAGACCGGTGTCCCCCTCGATCCCGCAGGAGGTGGGAAATAACAAAACCGGAAGAGAATACAATTCAAACGCTGGTTTGAAAGATAATTTCGTAATAAGTACGTTTTAATCCGTACGTCGTAAATAGACTCTTACAGTTCTCTGTAACATAAGTTTCCCTAGTTGTAACGTTAAGAAGGTGTAGATTTTGGATTCTCCATGATAAACATTCTATTTTGCGTAATGAATCCGACAAAGAAGGCACTCGGTCCCCTTTACGATCGAACTCTGTGCGCTATAATCGTTCGTACATTGTGAACGAATATCCCGTATTTCGATGTTCGCCGAGATTTTGCCAGGAGAACAGATTGCAATGCTGCCAGTGTTTACCGCGTAAAACTCCCTACATTCTCCACCCCCTTTTAGTCCTCGATTATCGTATATGATACAATTTTATCGTGTACTCACCTTTGTTTCTTGTTTCCACGCGTCCTTCCTTCGTCGAGTCTAGTTGTTTACAGGGCATTGGATGTCTCATTGTCCGCGTCTTCACGTTGCACTGGCGTCGACGTAAAACGATGTTTCAGCAAGGCGACACGTCCGCTTTCGTCGCGCGTTTCGCGGTTCGTGTTTTCATGGCGAAATGCTCGTTGCGTAAGGGTCGAGGACCGTTGTGCCTTCGAATGCACGCGAACGAATGATACGTTTATCAATCGTATAAACAGATACCCACTTTGTGATTTCGTAAGCAGTTGTTCAATGTTTTCCTTCTTTTTTTTTTTTTTTTGTACTTTCCTTAATGCTTATCTAGGATAGCTTGTGTACCCTAAAGAGTGTTTCAATAAAAGTGACAATGAAATCAAGTCTGAACTGGTTTTTGATGCTCAATGTTTTTCCTTTAATATGCGTCTCAATGAAATCAAGTCCGAATTTGTCTCTTCTTCGCCAAACGTATCACTCACTTCTAACCTATTCGCGTATTCTCAATTCGACTGATCTGTTTATTTCAAAATTTGGCTATTGAATGTTCAAAAAATGTTTATTTAGGATAGCTCGTATGTTCCAAAGAATATTTTGATAAAAGTAACAATGAAATCAAGTCTAAACTCACATTTTCTTCACCAAACATATCACTCACTTCTAACCGGTTCGCGAATTCGACTGATCCGTTCGAAAGTTCGATTATCGAAATTAAAGGAGTAATTCGATAATCGAGATCGAATCTCTGTTGGCGGTTGATTGTACCACATTAACCAAAATGGCTGCCGTGCCGGGATCCGTTTATTTGGAAATTCGATCGTCGAATATTCAGTGTTTTTTTTTTTTCTTTCAATATGTATTTAGGATAGCTCGTGTATCCTGAAGAGCATCACAATGAAATCAAGTCCGAATTTGCCTTTTCTTTGACAAACATATCACTCACTCCTAACCCTTTCGCGTATTCTCAATTCGACTGCTCTGTTTGTTTCAAAATTCGGCTATTGAATGTTCAAAAAATGTTTATTTAGGATAGCTCGTATATCCCAAATAGTATTTTGATAAAAGTAACAATAAAATCAAGTCTAAACTCACATTTTCTTCACATATCACTCACTTCTAACCGGTTCGCGAATTCGACTGATCCGTTCGAAAGTTCGATTATCGAAATTAAAGGAGTAATTCGATAATCGAGATCGAGTCTCTGTTGGCAGTTGGTCGTACTACATTAGCCAAAATGGCTGCCGTGCCGGGATACTATCCGTTTATTTGGAAATTCGATCGACGAATATAAAGTATTTTTTTTTCTTTTAATAAGTATTTAGGATAGCTCGTGTACCCTAAAGAGTGTTTCAATGAAATCAAATCCGAATTTGCCATTTCTTCGACAAATATATCACTCCTAACCCGTTTGTGTATTCTCAACTTGGACTCATCCGTTTGTTTAGAAATTCGATTATCAGTGTTCAATATTTAGGATAGCTCATGTGCCCTAAAGGGATTTATTTCGATAAAAGTAATAATGAAATCAGGTTTAAACTCACATATTCTTCACCAAACATATCACTCATTCCTAATTCGTTCGCGAAATCATTCGACTGATCCGGTTATTTGAAAATTATCGAAAGTGGCGGCAATTTCAATAATCGAGGACGAGTCTCTGTTGGCAGTTGACCGTACTACATTAACCAAAATGGCTGCCGTGCCGGGATACGAATTGCCATTTTGGCGCGTAATTTACTAGTCGCTTTTCCGGAATAATTTGAACTGATTCGTGTCGTCTTTTCGCAAGCTGTTACTAAATATCCGTTGACGTGTCAATTAGTTATTCATATCCGTTTCTCGGCATAATTATACGTGTATATCTCCGTTCGAATTGTCGATGTACGGTCGCGTTTTTAACGTATGACGAAGGGAAACGTCGCGAATATGGCACCGCGTTACGAGAAAGTAATATTATGCCGCGGTGTGTCGGAAAAAAGTGACTCGCAAGAGGCCTATGTGAAAACGTTGAAAACGGCAGGTTATTTGTGCGACTGTTTACCTACTTTGTGTTTCGAATTTGTGAATATAACGGAGCTGAAGTCGTGTCTTATGTCACCATCTTCATACTATGGTAATAACATTGCAAGTGAACTGAATTCCTTTTCTTACATTTGATTTATCTTCACTAATCAATACATTCATAGGACTGATACTGACAAGCCGACGTGCAGCAGAGGCGATTGGACTTTCAGCAAAGGAAGATGATAGCATTTTACATCCTTGGAGAACCTTGCCAGTATACTGTGTAGGACCAGCAACCGAGTCTTTTGCCAAAAGTCACTTAGGTTCAGAAAACTGCTTCGGTAAAGAGACTGGCAATGCCAAAGAATTAGCAGAATTGTTAATGGTCTCTATTGCAAAAAGATCAAAGCCTTTATTGTACCCTTGTAGTGAAATAGGACGTGAGACAATTGAAAAGATTCTCAATGAAAATAACATCAAAATCCATAAAATAGTTGCTTACAGAACTTTGCCTACTGAAACTTTAGAGCGTGATTTGTCAAAATTCATGGACGATAGGTCCAAAATATTTGTTTTCTTTAGCCCATCTACAGTAGAACATGTAATAGCTTTATTGAAAGAAAAGTCTTATAATATGAATAACGTAAAAGCAGTTGCTATTGGACCTGTGACTGGGCAAGCATTACTTAATGCTGGTCTTAATATTTTTGCTATTGCAAACAAACCTGATCCAATGTCGTTGTTGAATGCCATTAGTGATGCTGAGAAAAGTGAGATTGATGAAAAGAGTGAATGAAGAGTGAATGCTGTTATTATGTTATGTAAGTACATAATTGTTATTAATCTATTAAGACTACATTTAATTTGTTGATATTATACTATTAAGGAAATAAAAAATGAAATGGTCGTTTTATTCATGGCTTGGAATTACACATCACAAGTGGAATAATGTGGTCTCAATAGATTAAGTTATATTTTTATTTACGTTTGCCATCTTTACATAGTTTACATATTTATTTCTGTGGAATATCTGTTACAATATTTAGCTGTTGAATTCAACCAGTTTATAGGTTGATAGATAATATTAGTAAACTTTAATTTGATTATAACAATAAATATATATCTTATTTTATTACACATATAGATAAAAAAATAAGATTACTATTTATTTACAGTTTAAAGCTATCTAATTTTTATGAAACACTGACTATTCATTGCTATGTGATACGTATTATAATATTGTTTACAATTTTAAAAAATTGATATAATTAGAAAAATTACTTCCCTGTACATAATAAAGAGAATTTTAAACTATTTCTTATACATGTATATACACAAATTTCCTTTATTATGTACAAGGAAGTAATTTTTCTTAAATGTATATATTGTGTAATTTTTGTTATATGTATATAGTATATATGCTGATTAAAATATTTAAAATATTAACATTTAAAACTAGTATGTTTATAATATTTAGAATGAAAGAAATTTGTAAAATTGTGCGTATCAGTCTTTACTATTAATCTCTATAGCATTTTTTATTCCTCGTGAATGTGTATGCAAATAATTGGTAGAAATATGCTACTCCTTTCAAATATTTATAATACTTGGGACGATTATGTTTCTCATCTTGTTTGATGATAGACCTAGTAGCTCCTAACTTATCTTAGTTATTTAATATCTATTTCGATTAACCACATTACTAAGAAGGCACGAAATATCTGCACCTACAATGGTAGATTGATTAGCGTAATAGGGCTGAGGTGGATTTCCTCCGTTATTATATTTCATTTGGACAGCAGTTTCATAATCAGGTGCTGGTCTGTAGGACGGAAGTAAGGCACGTAAGTTGTTGATGTCTGTAGATGACACAACCGGATACGGTGATGTTGAGAGATCATTGTAACTAGTCCATCTTGTGTGACTCTCCGCATTTTTGTTATCCAAATTTACCGATATCGCATGATCCCCCGAGTCATTCGTATCGCTATCCTGAAATATGATATAGTGATTTCATTTGGATGTATTCTTGGCACATTGTTATGTTGGATGAAATATCACTTACGATATAACCATTAGTTGATCTCTCTATTGGCCGAGATTCTTGATGCTGCATGTAAAATGTGTGTTGCGCTATGCATAAACGCCACACATATTTTGCATTTCGTGATTCGGTAAATATGAATTGTTTTGGTTCTTCGCCTTCGGCTTGACATTCTATTCTAAATGTCTTTTTGTGATTGATTACATTGCTTATGTCTTTCCACCTGAAGCATATATAGATCGCCATTATATTTGCTGATTCGATATGTGATATATTTTATGAAATAAATACCTGTAGAATTGTGTTGTTTGCGTGTTAGGATAAATGACCACGATCCCATTGATAGAAATTCCTAATATCACTTCATTGTTCCCATTGTCCTGTAATTCAATAGATAAAAGACTGAAACTTGTTATATGAAAAACTCATATAGAATCAATATGAATACCTTGGTAGAGAATGTTTCATTTCCATATCCTTCTAGTTGCACAACAACAGAAATATATAGTTCCTCTGCAGCAGCCTGGGTAACACCAATCAGATTCTTATAGTGAGATACAGCAGTATGTAAAAGAGAATCTTGTCCTCCAGGATCTGCTTGAATAACATCCTAAACAATAAAATAAAGTGAGAACTAAACAAAATAAATCTAATTATTCTTTTATTGATAGCTGTTTAATTACTTTGGGAAATAATGTACATTGTTGCAAGCATTCCATTGTATGTCGTTCCGTATCATAGTTGCCAAATTCTGCTTGCATTAAGTAACTAGCTAAAAGAGTTGCTTGCCTAGAATTACATTGAAATCTGCCTTCCAATACATCACTTTTCAATTGAAGATAATAGTGATACCTAAAAAAGCACAATGTTTAAAGAATAAATTGTAGTGATAGAGATATAAAAATATTTAAGATATTACATACCTTGTCATTTCATCCTGAATAAGTTGAACATCCGTAACATAATACATAACTCTCAAATATAAACTGAAATTTTTGGCTTCTTTCTCCAATTGTTTTTTCAATGGTTTGTCCATATCGATCCATCTTGGAGATGGAGAATCATGCCTTGAAATATAACGTAGGCCAAAGAATTCATGCTGTCCTAAGCCTAAACGTTGAGTCACATTGTCCAAGCACTCTTGGCCAAGACTGTCAATGCTCAGTGTGCATTCTATAGAGGTGGCATCCAACAGTTCTATGCAGATTACATACTGATTTTTGGAGACCACGTTATACTGCCGACTTTTTTTCAAATGAAATTTGAACGGCATTTTCATAACGTATTTAACTGGAAAAAAAGCATTGATATAAAGTTAAATAAAATTGTAGAGATTGAATCGTTTTCAAGTTCGGTTTGCTACGTCGGCTATTAAAGTATTTTTGACTAAGAAAATTGCGCTGGACATAATAATTTAAGAATGAAGGAAAAACAAATAAATGACAAAAAATTTTAAAAGACGAGCTTTCAGTAAGGCCGCCGAAGAGAAATAAACTACGACCAAACACCGAGATGTTTCACATTCCACCGTTTTTTTACTTTTACTTTTAATTGAAATATATATGCATGCACGTACTCTTTACATTCCACTCTGTTGAGCATGAGAAATGTATAAAATTTCACGTTTAATAAATAGAAAGCATTTCTAACCTCGTTTTTCACGTCATTAATGCTAGTTATAAAACTGTGGTACACAGTTCCTAAATTGGGCGACCTTGACATGAGAGATTAAAACCTTCTGTGGATTTTTCATTCAAGGTAGAAAAAAAAAAGTGAAAGATAATGTCAAAAATTTTGTAAAAACTAGATCAAGTACATAAAATGCATATTAATTACGAGTAAAAGTAGTTTTGTCGAAAGTGATCTAATCTTCAAATATTCTCCAACTAGATGAATCATAGTTTTTACAACCAAACGAGGAATGCGGTTAATGTTATATTTTCTGTTGAAAAATCAGTCGAATTTATGCTCAAACTGTTAGAAGTTGTTTACATCATAGATAAATCAAAAAAACTTATTCACTAGAGAATAAAATTTCTACTCGTATTCACTAGATCTAGTTACCGAAAAAATTCCCTACGGATCTCATTATGCAAGCAGCTTAAGATTTCTCGTACGTGATGTGTACACGATGACTAATGGTCTTATCAAAATTAATCGCCGGCCTTTTATTTTAAATCCTGTTATCGCGTCGGATCGAATAAAATTACGAGTCTCGCGATAACGCGAGCGTGTCGCGTGCAAAATTCCACTTGCTAGAACTTTTGCATCTTACCTACGCGTCTCTGACAATTAGTGATAAAAGTTAATGTTTCTATGATGCAAGACAAAGAAGTAATTTTAGTATAATAAATATATTTTATATATAACAATTAACAAATGACTATTACAGTACGGAATGCAACATTTCGTCTAAAATAAGATTCATAGCATCGAGCTCGTATTTTACAAATCACTTTCCGATCGACTAGACAGTTTTTTTTTTTTTTTTAATTTTCTTCAATTTCTCCTGTTTAAATTGAGTAAAATTGCGTGGCCGTAGAAGATTGCATTTCTATTTGCCCCATCTTGAACTGCAATCGATGAAGCCATCGTAAGAGCGTGGCATTTGATTCTCGACGAGACGAGGCAAACTGCTCGGACATTTTGTTGGGTGGAAAGTCCCGGCAATTTTGCAAACGCACTTGCAAATGTCCTGGTAGCTAATTATGTATAAATATTTTATTAAAACCAAAAAAGCAAGAACATTATCTTTCATTGCGAATAGAAGCGAGATGTTTTAATAATTCATCTTACCTGAACGTGATGCGAATACAGTATGGGACTCCAAAGAGGTAACAATTTACTCAATAGGATGGACCTACACTCGAGGAGAGTTTCGAGTAGGCTCAGGAAATGCAAATTCACCATCTCAGCCAACTGCAGGGACAAATCATTATTTAAGAACAAAAATTGTTCGAGGAAAAGACTATACTATACTACTTTTACAAATGAAATTACAAATGGAGCTACAAATTTCCAATTAAAAAAAAAAAAGAGAGAAAAACGACTGCTGTGAACTTACAACTTTCGAGTATCCAACCAACTGCAGTATGCAAGGCGTTATCTTGCCCCAGAACTCCAACAAAATGTTCATCGTGGTATTGTGACTCTCACTATTTGATGGATTGTTCTTCGACAACTCTTCCAGATACATGGTCCACAACTGAACACAAACCACGATATTTCCAAATTCTGTCGAAAAATCTCAATGCCGATCGATATGAAGTGCAATATACCTACTTGACACAATATGAATGCATGAAACAACGAAGACATGTGCAAGACCGATGCTTTGGACTGTTCCGGGAACCCGGAGAATATGACTTGCACGTGATCTGCAACATAGCAAGAGACTTCCTGCGGTATCGGCTGCGCGGATGGGCTCGGTGGCCCGTGGGTGTGCGTGTTATTGTTGCCAGAGTACATTGCGGTATGCGTGAGAGAACCTAATAAGAGCCAGGATAATAATCTAATGTGTCCTATGCAGTCCACATACTCTCGAGGCCTGAAAAAAATGGCATTAACTTCAGCGTTCTTCAAGTTCTTCTAGCAACTCTCGTCTTTTGATTTACCCTTGTTGTATCATTGAAGGTGCGCTATAGAGCCAAGGAAGGTATCGAGCTACAGCTCTGTTCTCCCTGTTATTGCCTCTAGTAATTTCTAGCGCGACGTACTGCGCGAGACCACACTTCAGTATACCACCCAATGTGTCCTCGTTCAGTCCAGCTTGCATTCCCTTGCTGTAGCTCTGTGTATCGTCAGAAAGTCCATTGTTTAATCCATTGTTTAAAAATGAAGTCACTCGGAATCCAAATTCAACTGTAACTGTCTCGGAGATGTCATGCAATTTTTGAAGCTATTCATCGTGTTTTACACAAATTTTTCTCGGCTTAGAATAGTATTCCTCTGTGTTATTCGTACGCTTTCTTCTAGATAAAATATTTATTGGCAATGCAAGCTGAATGTTTTGGAAAGTATAATACGCTTTTCGTCATACGTAGCAGCCACCTGATTAATTTAATAATATCGATACAATGATTTCAAAGCAATAGATTATTTTATTCTTCACTGTTGGCATATGCAGCGTGCCAAACAAAATTAAATAGTATGTTTCAGTCCGACTCAGTCGTAAAGCAAAGAGTTAAAAACGATCAGTCTCGTTATAGTGAATGCGACTGTTATTTATCATTATTTCGATTACCTTCACTTTGCTCAAAGTGTGAAAATCTGCCAAGAAGTCGAGCACGTCCGACAGTTGATTCTTCAGAGACTCGGAGGCGTTAGTATTGTAAATTGACGATACGTCCGTTTGGACGTTCTCCAAGGCGACGGTGTTAGGTAACGAGCCTCCAATGTCCTGCACATTCCATACATTCAGTCATAAATTAAATACAATTTTGCTTTTCTCGCAAGACGTTCCTTTACCTGTAGTACGAAATGCAGAAGCAACAGAAAATTCGAATCTGGTATTGTGGTCTTGAATTTGATAGCTTGAATCAGCTCGAACACGATGGTTCGTCCAAACAAGTGTTTGTCTCTGTCTCTTAAAAAACCTCTGTGACAGAGGTAACAGAGATCCGTCAGGTAACTGTACTTTATATTAGAATTCTGAATGGCGTAGCTCAACACTTTGCTAAAGGGATCCAACATACCCTGTAAATTTCCACATTATTCATTATTCACCTTCCACAATTAAGCATTGTATTCGTAGTATCAAATTTTCGTAATCCTGTAAAATTACTACTGAAATTTAATATACTTGGACGAAATAAAATAAAAAAAGAAAATAGAAGAATCCAGAAATAATTTCTCACGTGAATTTTCGAATATTCAAGCGAGACTCAAGATCATAAAACAGAAACTCCCTGCGAAACTGTGTCGTAAATCTGTCTCGATCTGTTAATCATCGAAAAATCCCCAACCAGCCAAAGGAAATAAATCCTCTGGCGCGTTTATGCCTTCCCTGCAGCAACGACAATCGCGCAGCAATCAAAATAATCGTGAACATCCACGACAGGTGGATTTATGACCGGCGAATAACTAACCTTTGATTGTTGAATACCGGGAACCTTCAATAATGAAATCATAATCCTTAATAACGAGGTGGCGTCTTCGATAGATGAGAGCATCAGCACCAGCCTACGGAACAGGGTATCGAATTGCGCTAGAAGACCGATCCAGGTTGTTGCACCTGGACCCAGACCTGCTTCCAGCGGTAGACAGTCCAAGTAGCATGCTATGTTGAACAGTATTGTCGAAAGGCGTTCCACTGGTAGAGATTTCTTGGCGTTTAAGGCCTGAAATATAAGGATCGTTAAGACATTAATGGTATTTTAAGAATCTTACGACACTAACACGAGTTAAAAAAAAAAAATTAAGATAAGAAGTAAGTAAGAGATAAGTTAAGACGTTAATGTTGATATAAATTAAGAACTGGATTCTTAAATGTGATCATTTATGATTATTAAATTGATATTGATTAAGATCTACAATACAATATGGTATCGAAGGTATTAAGAGCTTTAAGATACTAAGTTTATTAATCGTAATGAGCACATATTTATGTTTGGATATATTTGTTTCGTGAAAAGTTATCTCACTGATTTTAACTAATATATGCGCTTTGAATTTTCTGAATAAGATATGATTTATGGATCATAATATAATTCAATTATGTTGGTCAGAGTGTATTAACACTAGGTTTACGGGACCCGTCAATTTGACGGATTTCGAATACAAGAAATGTCTGTAAACCTAGCGTTAAAGATCTTGAGATATCAGGGGCTAGATTTGTGATTCTATCTGGACTCGAGTTAAGATATTTGCTTCGTGATCGTCTGTATCTTTTTCACAATGATATCTTCACATAAATTCTATCGATAGATAGATCTATTCTATCTACTTATACTTAGTACTCGCGTCAGAGTACCTCGAGCAGTAATTGTAGAGGCGCAATTGGATTTAGTTCGTTGAAGTCGACCAAAGCTTGAGTGACACTCTTGAAGAATTGCATCCTCGTGGATTCTGAAAAAAATGAACGATTGCGAAAAACGATGACGATGATCGTACGTTTTATAAAATTTTATGAGATCTACCATTCAGATGCGTTTGGAACATTTGCAAGAAGACGCCATTAGGGGCCAATTGGTGAAGAACGCAACGAAGGAACTGATGCGCCACACTGATTGCGCCACCAGGTAGATGCATGTTAGTCTCGCTTTGCCACGGGTACATGGCATTGAGAGCCACCCTGCAAACGAAGACGTATTGAGAAGCCGTTGTGTTATTTTAAACTAGCACGACGAAGTAAAACTCGAGTCAAACTTTGTCACGACACGTAGAATTTCTGGCAAGATCGGTGCTGCCAAGGATGGTTCACGATGGATGAACGTGCCTAAGTTGATGATGCATAAACCGAGTTCCTCGTCGGAGTATTCCTCTTTTATCGTCCCACATTCCGAACACCTAACCGGCAAATTTAGATACTAAATTATTGTACACCGTGCGGAAATAAACGTTTATTATTAACACCGGTTCAACAGCTACCTCTCGTAAATGCAGTCGTCCCCGATGCGGAATAAACTTTGCTTCAAGCTGAAATCGGCGTGGTAGGCTTGTTGCGAGGCGACGTCGAAATTAGGTTGTAGTTGAGGGCCAGACCTGCGAACAGTGAAAGAGAATGATAATATATTTAATCTTCTTGCAACAATGTTGTCATTTGAAAATACAAAACGGTCCTGTTCGAACAAAATTCTCGTTTCAATTTTATACTAAAGTTCCTTCTCGTTTGCTGAAATTCAAGGATCGTAGCAGAGACAACCATCATACGACACGAACGTTTTTGTCTCGCAACCAGACCCTGACTGGAGGTGTTAGTAGTAATTTTCTAAAATTTACCAGGATTCTGTACGCCTGGTCAACGGACCATCGTGTCCAGTGACACTGTCTTTTCGAGGCCTGTCACGTTGAATGCGAACGTGATCCTTTGTTCTGCCTCTTCGATCAAGGTCGAACATTCGAGAGGGATAGTCTGAAAATTCGATCGCTGGAGGTGGCGATTCCAGAGCTACTTGCTTGGTCAGCCTTCTCGGACTTGTTGATCTACTCGAGTGTATCTCGTTTGATGTTGGGACCAGCGATGCTGACTGAAAAGTCGATTCGAAATTGATTTTCTGTTTAGACGATAGGCCTTGATAACAGCAAGTGAGAAACATCTTTTTACCATATTCTCGGACGTTGTGCTATCCTGCTTCATCACCGGTGTCTGTCCATCGCCTTTTCCATTGCCATTGCCATTGCTAAATTTATTGGAATCTGATAAAATTCGACAGGGTGTTATTGCCAACATAAAAAGTTGTAGTTGCATCTTCTATTACAGTACAATTGTACCTTCGATTTCTTGGACACCTAGAGCTTGACGAACGTGTTCGACCAAGCCAGTGAAATCTCTGTGAGGTCCGACAGGTAGCAGTCGTTCAGGCATGGGATATTCCAGCTGCGATATGCTTCTAGGACTGGTTATGTCGCTAGACATGCACGTCTCGCTGTCTTGATCGAACGAGGAGCCTGAAAAGATTGTTTCGTCCCCTCGGGAATTATTTTTCTTTTTTCTGCGTAACTTTGAAATGGTAGCTAGAAATATGCACCAATATAAAAATATAGTTTAATATAGTTTAAAGAAATACTCACTGACTGTTAAGACGTCCATCTTGGACAAAGGCGATTCAGGCGAGCCATAAGTGTCCTCGCAGCGTAGAATCCGCTGGCCCACAGTGGGCCGTGGAACTAGAAAATTGATGAGAAGTTTGTTTGTCTTTTATTGACATTGTAATGACTATTTCCGATGCTATTTGACTTTTATTAAATATATATATATATATATATATAAAAATTTGTACAAAATGAAAAGATCACTATAACACACGCTAAAAATCACATGACACTGTAGGAACGTTAGCGTTCGTTGTAGTGTTGATAAAGACACTCACCGACTGAACGAACAGCGGTTCCAATTGGTAAAAGTCTCTCGACCGTTGGCGCGGTTAGAGGATGAGGAGGCTCGTTCCAGCTCGGATGCTGGCCGTTGTCGGTGCTCGTGACCTGAGATGATATCGAGCTAACCGCCGGAGAGCTGGACTGGTCGCTGCTCGTCACTGTAACCACTTGACCCGGAGACACGGGCGAGGCCATGGTCACGCTCTGCTCTATGCGCTTCTGACGACCCAGTTGCTTGGAATTCGGCGAATCTGAATTACTGGAGCCCGCCGGCGCTGCCTTCTCCTTTGGCAACTCGTATCTGTATCGCATTTGTCTTCGTCAATGCAGAATCGTTTTAGTAAATACTCGCGACACAGCGACGAAGTGGATAGTTACCTTTGAACTTGTGCTGGCAAAGTAGTCGCCAGAGCGCTGGACAGCCCGAAAGGCTTCGAGGAGGCACTGTCCCCGTTGAGAGCTATTTGCACAGTGACGTTCCTCTCTTGGGCAGCTTTCTCCGGTGCTGGCTTCTCTGGAATCGCCTTCTCTAGAATCCCTTTCTCCGCCTTTTCCAGCATCTTCTCCATCCTCGACACGGGCGTGTACCTCTGTAGATCCGCCTGGCCACTTAGCAATGTACTCGTCACCATCATCTTCACTCCCTCGTGTACGCTCCACTTCTTCTGGGATCCAGCCTTTGCGCTCTTCTCGAGAATAACAAAATGCCAATTAACGTCTAACTAGGAACATTTATCGAACGATATTTTAATAACAAATGGTCCACCATTTGAAAATGGCGTTGAAGATCTTCGTAGCCATTTTTGGCCATGATTTTTGATTAAATAAGAAGGAGACAAGTAACCACTAGTTAATTTAATTATAATTCTTTACACCTTTCCCACATTTGACAATAGAATTTTCCAATAATAATGTCAAACAAGTAAAATGATCAAGCCATAATTCTTACAAACGCTATTTTTAGTAAGATAATCTAACCAGTTGAAATAAGTGAAGCAAAATGATACAATAATTAATAAAACGTGCCAATATTTGAATTTTATTTAATGATCATTTTTGATCGCGAAGACCTTGCAAGAGACGATATTTACTTCGAAGAAATCATCCAGAAGGAATGTAAACTTACGTCCTTCAGTTTGAAGTAAGATCCCTATTTAAAAACAGCCAGGCAGGCAGTAAGAATAAAATTCATCATCGTTCAGAAATAATAAAAAGGAACACGTCCCTCACCTCCGTGAAGATTAGGAAATCTTTTACACACCTGATGAGAATCCTCCTCGCTTCCGAGGAACCAAGTAGGTTTGCTGATCCCTTCGGATTTCCTCATCGCGTTCTGATTGTTCCAATCCATTCTTGTCAGGATGTCGGTGGTTGCTCTAGATCCGTGGAGCGAAACGCTTCTGGTGACAGCGGTCGGTGTTTCCTCCAGTTCGCCGAGCGATCCACCGCTACTGCCATGCAAGGTGCTGTCAGATTTTGGGCTCTCGGGTATTGCGGCCAGCTCGGACTCCGTATCATCCGCATTGATCGAGTAGCTTTGCAGAGCATTCATAATAGCGGAAATTGTAACAAGCAGCTACATGGTGTAAGCGCAGGCACATGGTGTGTCATGGCGTGAGATCTCTCGCTTGGGCTCTGGATTGTATGTTTCTTAAGACACTCTATGGTGTGATGCTAGAGTCTAGAATCTGCTAGATTCGATTAAACAAATGAAAGGGGGGGGGAGGGTGAACTCTAAGGGAGATCGCTCTCGTCCGGACGTTATTCGTTTCATGCCTATATTAAAAAAAAAAAAAAAAAAAAAAAAAAACACTATGGGGAAATGATGGTAGAAGTGACCGGTATCTTTGTTCCCCTGGTCTTGAGTCGTGTCGTGAGTAATCGAGATGCTCCAAGGTACACAATTCTAGATCGCTACGTACGAGTGAGGGTGGAAATATTTTTTACAACCTCGTCTGTGCTAACTCACTCTTGAGAAAATCATTCTAAGTGAAAGGAGGGAGGGTGGATTGTATTAAAGGGAAATCAGTCTAGAGAGTGCAAAACTCGCAAGACACGTCAACGTGAAACATTCCAAGCTAAAGTAGCCTAATGCTCTACCTTTCCACGGGGGATCTATGGTATCGACTAGGATGCAGTGTAACTAGTGTTGGTGAAATAACCTGGAGTGCTTGTTCGTGTAGCGACAGCTCGGCGTGCTTTCCTCCCAGTGAGTCTCCATTTGGCCGTGAGTCGGCCCGGGACTTCGTTGATGCACAGACACCATAGGAGTTCTCATCGGAGGGCTCTCGGCGTTCATATCGCCCATAATGCTAGCCATCTCGTGGTCCACGCCTAGAGACGGTTGTGACACGTCTGAAATTCAACAGAATATTTCTTTCAATTCAATTTTCTTACGGAAATACAAAATATCTCAATTTTCATGGTTTCCTTCTTGAAATTTCGTTTTTAAAAAATCCAGTGAACGTTAAAAATTGAAATTCAACTTTCTCGTAAACATGTGGTGAAAAAATATTATTCCACTCTTCGTTTGTTTTCATATATGTAATTTTATCCACTATCCTGCTCAGTCTAAGTACACATTCAAAGTCGATTTCCTCCAAAAAAAGGAAGCATCGCGTGAAGAAGTTTCACTTGATATTCTCTTTACAGTTTATTTTCCTAACTAGGCCCACTTGCCGCGGTTGTACCACGAAAATTGAAGAATTGTATTTAAAAATCGTTTGTATGCACCACGTGATCTGGATGGCGGACCACCCATCACCACGGTAGCTGGAATTCTCTTGCACTGATGGTGCTGCGTGTCCAGAGTGTTCAACACGATCTTGATCAATACTTGCAGCTGGTTGCACCATGGCTGCTGACCGTACTGGCACTGAAATAAGAAATGACTTGTAACACTTCGATCTAAAGAACGAAAAGACGTCTCGAAGAGACTCGTCTGTGTCACCTTGTACAGTATGACGAGAAGAGCCATTAACCAAGAGCGTCTGTTTTGGGGTTCGAGGTACCAGAGACTGTAAGTGGGTGTTTGATGATCAGACGGGGGCACACCTTGCGGAGGGCAGGGACAATGTTGGAGTATAGCCAGAACTGGAGGTGTCATCACCCATCCCATCACGTGATTCTGGTCTAGCAGCTGAGGCAGATTCGCGATGAAGACGTTGAACACAGGTGAAACTCTGAGAAGAATTGCCGGATCATTACGCACCATATTTTACATTGCACGAAACTCAACAAGAATCAAAATTAAAAACAGTGCGACTGATGGTTTTCCTTGGGAATTTCATACCTTAGTCGCTGGGGAGAAGTATGGAAGGTGCGTTCAGTTTGATTGTAGCCTAGTAGAAGGTACAAGTGACGTAGCACGATTCCTTGTGTTTTTGACAGAGGTTTCTCGTCCGTTGGATAGGCCTGTGTTCGTCATATATTCTTTTATCAACGACGAGGTCTTTCGAGTGAATGATGTAAAAAAGGTTTGTTACTCGTTATTCGTTACCTGGTCCGGTCTAGAAAGAAACTGCATCAGTAGAAAGACCAGCAGGTGCATGGTCTCTTTGTCAGCTTCTTCCAAGTCCACGATTTTGTGCGTGTAACCCGGTAACGCGCTGGTCTCGTCCACCATGTTTAACGAATGAATGTGACCGTCTGTAATATCAAGTCAGTCAATGGTAAATCTCTTTCCCGATTCAAACTCAGTCGAACGAGATAAAAACGAATGAGATTAGAATAGAAACCTTACCACCATCGTTTGCATTTAAAAATTCCAATTCTCTAAGAACCTTTCATTAGCTGCGTTCATGCACAAGCAAAGCCTCTTGTCAGCGAATTCACAATGTTCGATAGTCTACCAAAACCAGGGAACTATCTACTCAACATTCACGCTACGAAGGATAAACACGATCTACCCGCTACATATCTAAAGGAAGAAAGATCTACAAAACATAGTGTTCAAACGCTACGTGCTACTTTCTACTGGCTACTTGCCGCTACGAAGAAAAAGTCGCGTTCAACTTCCAAGAGAATGAAAATCGCCGATCTTACGACAAACGACGGGGGAACAAAATAGCGTTCGTCTCGGTTTGCTCGCGGCTCCATAGAACAAAGCCTACGCAGCCACAGAAATCAAATCCCCGGTAACGATCAAGTCGATCAACACCTTTCTCGATCCTTTCACTTTGCAACGCAAACGAACAGAAAAACAAACGAAGAAAAAAAAGGAAGAAAACGTCGAAAGCTGAACTCCTCGAAACTGAGGCTGATGAACCATCAAACTTACCACAAATGTTCCACATCGAACATCCCCAAACATCATCGCGTTTCGCAATAACACAGATGGGGGAGGGATTCGGAGGTGTATGGTTCGGAGGGTTGTAATACGCGTACGGGAACATAGATAACACAGAGGAGAACGGCCACGTCTAAGGCTAGCATCAGCAACGCTACTCTACCTGGTATACTGTTATTAGGTGGGGTGGACCCCAGCAACTGACCCAGTCCGAATCTGGAGCTCTTGCGCTTCAGGATAGGCGCCGAGTATTGCCGGCTGTACACCTTCTCCTTTTCTGCGCGGTTCGACACGCGGTGGGCACACAATTGAAAAACGCGTGTAACAGGTGAAGGCGTGATGTGCTTTTAAAAGGCGTGGTTTTCTTTTTTCTTTTTTTTTCTCTCTCTTTTTTTTTAGACGGAACATCTCGACTAAGTGTTCAGTAATTCTAGAGCTAACAATAAGTAGGCAGCGAGAGAGTCGGTAGAGATTAACTGGGAATTCCTTCCGAGAGTTTCGGGGATTCTGGTCATGGAATTTTAGAACGTGGCTTGGAAGCACTGCCTTTTGTATACTCGTTCGTTGAAAGTGCAAGAACAGTTTTTTTATTAGTTTGGTAGTAATTATTACTAGAAATGAGAAAACTTTCGAGTATGCTATAAATTACTAAGAACAAATAAGTATAAAAACTAAAAGCAAAGGAGAGATTTAATCTAAAATTATTTTTAATTGCTTAAATGAATCAACAAGCTAATAAACAAATTTTGTTATCAAAAAAAAAAGTCATAGTAAATTACTTCACGAGTGTATAAATTTCATTTTCGATGAATGATATAATTTATAAGTAGTATCACACCCTTCGTATAGTTTTGGCAACTTCTAGTCTACTTTTCTAGCGAGAACTATAAGTCTCTCAGTATCGGAATCCCCAGACCTCTCGAAGGATCCATTTGACTCTATATTCTGAGAGGAACCTAGTAACTCTACTCTATAATCTGAAGTGACCCTCAAGCTTCGTAAACTTGAGTCAAAGAGGCTCCTACGTCTTCGAGTACAGATCCTTGACTCTATCCTTTAGACACTCGTGATTCATCGCCGATAGCGATCAGCGATGTAGGAATTTCTGACTATGAAGTAAACTATGGAAGTGAATCACGGTGTGTTTGCTCGGGGACCACGGGACACGTGTACCTTGTTTCGTGTCCTGGCGAGGGATCATCGACGCTGGCGCGGACATGGTGCGCTTGTATGGCCACTTGGTACCGAAACTCGCGCTCAACGTTTTTATGGAGTTGGTTCCGCTTCCGTCCGACTGGGACAGGGCTTCCTGCGCCCTGTGCAGCTTCTTCATGAACGTCTCGCTGTTCAGGTCCGTGTTTCTCAAATCTGCAAGTCGATTCATCGATCAATGCTCGGCAAATCTAATTTCAGCCGTTGCACACGTATCACACGTTTCTTTGCATTCATTTCAATTATTGTTTCTCACTTCTACGGCTCGAAGATGTTTAGAAATTCTTTATTACTGTTTTTTTTTTTTTTTTTTTTTTCTCTTTTTCGATCAATTACGGCACTGACCTCGTAGATAAGGTATATCCCCGGATCTTTCCAAATAAATTTGAGCTTCCAAGAACAGAGTGTCGAAACGATTCAGGAAGAACTCCCAGGTTAAAATATGCCTGTCGCTGAGGCTGTTGTGCAATTGATACAGTGATTGGAGCACCATCGGACGGTCGACTATCACTGTATCGAACTGAGTTTCCAAGCAGAGGATCAAAGACTAAAATATATAAATATAAAATGAATTTATGAGTATAAATATAATTATAATATAAATATATTTTATATAAATATAAAAATAAATATAAATATATTCTATATAAATATAAATATAAAAATAAAAATTAATATATTTTATATAAATATAGATATAAAAATAAATATAAATATATATTTATGAACATAAATATAATTATAATATAAATATATTTTATATAAATATAAAATATAAAAATATTTAAGTTGCTGTTAGCAATTGTAATATGTTACAATACAGAAAACACAGAATGATAACACAGAACGTACATAGAATTATCGATTGTATCGTATCGCAGTTGCTTAATAAATATATCTCACCCTCATGGCCGTATCATGGATGGTGCCAAGGTACAGAGTAGACCTCTGAGCAACGTACACGTTGCTGTCGTCCATGCTCGCGATCAAATAACAGAACGCGTTCGCTAGAGCAGCTTGGAGATTCGCGACATTTCTCAGGGGAGTGGAGTCCATGAATCTAGCTATCAGCGTAACTCTTTCGACTGTCGAACGTTAAGAGATTGAAGGATTAATTTGTTTGGAACTAACTTGCGCGTTAGACTTCTTTATTCGGTGGATTTTCGTTCTCATCACCTGCCACAAATCGGACGCGCCAATCGGAATTGTGAAACTCTTCCTGAACCAAACGCCAAAATGTATCTATCCCACAGGACAGCGTGACACAGTGGAGCAACAGTGGCACGGTGACTTGGGCTATATGAGAGTGTTCAGCGTTTAGGAGCTCCCACAGGCTGTGGAAAGAAAGAAATACGATTCAGAAGATTGCAGAAGATTATTTATAATCATTTACTACGAACGAAAGGAAATATTTATGTCATTCAGATGCAGGGGATACCTGTCGTTTCTATTCATCTGGAAGTACAAAGGACATTGTTGATAAAGAACATCTTTCATAGAAGAATTTGTGTTACGAACAACCTGGGGATTGGGATTCTTACTTTTTTATTAGTAAATTTTCTTGACACCATATGAAGAATCCTTGATGGTCCTTCACTGCCATGTTGAAGGCATCTCCGTAAAGACACATCACGTTTAGACATTGAAGCATGTAGTAGAGTATATCAGGCTTGTCGATCGTCATTATCTCCTGCGAATTAAAGAAAAGGAAGATAATTTCATCTCCTGGAAAATTTCCAACTTTACTATATTATATAAAATATTCCGATATTAAGTGTCGTACCTTCAACAGTTTGTGTATGTACTGAAGTTGTTCGGGAAGATCCTCGATGTTAAATCGAAACTTTCCAACAGAGGTGTGCCAGAAGTCGTCCGTCTCATTTTCTGGACTCAAGTTCAACGGCTGATCGTTCTCTCCTATCAGACGTGGTTTAGCCACGCTCACAGTTGCCGTGGCTGAAACAAAAAGTCCCGTTTGTCACAAGAGACTGTTTGACGAAAGATTGAGATCAGTTCTAATTCAATTCTGTCGCGAGTTGAAGTAGAGTAGATTTGTACTTGGTCAGACGTCGAACGCAAGATTAATTGTGTCATGGTGGAATTCGGAAAATTCGTCTTCGAAGATTATAATTTTATAGAGGATATTTTTTTTAAATATTATAATTTGTGAATGACAAGTATCACGATTCTCCACGAACATCAACATTTTTCTCAGTAGAATTTCTCGCAAACGGATATTAATATTACTGGATTGAAAAATATTTTCACTTCAAGGAGGAAACACTGATTCGTTATTTTGTATCTTCGATAATTCTAATAAAATAATTTGTCCCAATATTCATTTCGACGAATGAAATAACAAATATACACTTTGTATAATTACAAAATAACTTTGATATTTCACTAATTTCAAAAATTTCGAATTTTCTTCCATCTAACCGCGCCTGACAAACTTTGAAAACACGAGAGACAGTGTCAGACAAATTTCTTTCTTACCTACGTCAGTCTCAGAGAGGGTAACGGCCCGAGCAACAGCCATGACCTTTTCCGTTGGCATGATAGCCGCGAGATCCAGCTGCTCCGAAACTGTCTCTACTGTGGCTGTCATGATCTGTTCGAAGAACTGATATAAACGATCAAAATAGCTACCTCCGGCCACATAGATTAGCCTACCGTGTTTCAATGGTTCACACAACGCCATTTCGCAGTGGAAGAAGAGAGACAGAGATAGGCGCGCACACACACAGTTTGAATTTTTGTTTTTTTTTTTTTTTTTTTTTTTTTTTGTTTTGTTCTGTGCAACGATTTGAATGCGAATGAAAAGTTCGTTTTTTTGATAATGTAGTTACAAGTATGTAGTGAGTGTATAGTGGGTAATATGTAACAGCAATGCAGTCATAATATGTATGACGTGTAATTATAATTTATAAATAGTGATATGCAAGTTGTAATATGTAGTAATAATTGGTAGGTAATATATATAGTAATATAATAACACAAATGTAGTAATAATAATATACTTGTAGGTAATATATATAGTAATATATGTGTGTAGTAATATATAATACATAATGTAATAATATGTAAGTAATAATAATATAATTGGTAGGTGATATATATAATAATATATAATACATATGTAGTAATAATAATATATATGTAGTAACATGTAATATATAATATATAACATGTATGCAATATGAAATATGTATGTAATAACAATAATCAGTATGTAATGAGATATATATATATATATTATATATATATAATTAAAAATATATAAGCATATATATATAATATAGTTAAAAATATATAATATAGTTATTAACTATATTATAATATAATACAAAAAATATGTAATATAGTTATTAACTATATTATAGTTAATATAATACAGTTAAAAATATATAATATAGTTATTAACTATATTACAGTTAATATAATACAATTAAAAATATATAATATAGTTATTAACTATATTAGTTAATATAATACAGTTAAAAATATATAATAAGCACGTATAGAAATATAGTAAGATGTAGTAATGAAATGAGAATGAATTGAAATTACCTACAGTGTTTTGATATTGTACATCATCACTAGCCTGTATATGCAATTTACAGATGCAATTCTCATGCAAAAACATCCTGTGCATTTTTACATCTTCCAATTTTTTTACAAACGTATATAAACATCCGTCGTTTACTAATAATAGATTTATTCAATCTTCGATTGAATTCATTGAATTGAACGAATTTGCTCAATTGTTTGATTAATGATCCATCATTACGCTGGCCTTCCGTTTACATGCGAAATTGACACTCTGAAAATCAGAAGTTGCACACTCTCATGGACATAGATTAATTAATCCAATACCGTGCAATTAAATTGATATCAACGTGTTTCGCAACGACGGCGTCTCTCATCTGCATAATCTGTATACAATAACGTCAGTGAAAGAAAGGAATTAGCCCCCTGGTGATGAACTTTTTCCCATCCCTTACGTCATCGGTTGCTCCTCGAATCTAGAGCCTTGCCGCACCCGCTCGACTGCCTTTTCAAATTATTAAAACAACGAATCAATTAGGAAAATAATCTTCTGATCATTAGTATACGACAACACCTAAGGAAAATAGGAGAATGTACTATATGGTATTTTTGCAACGAAGATAATGATATTTTTTCATTTCACACAGTGCTATGTCGGAATAAAATGAACGTCTGTTTTATTAAACCACGATTTATTATAAAAAAAGTTGAAAAGTATAAAAAATTATTATATATATTTAAATGTAATATATAATTTAAGTATATTATATTATTATATATTTTATTTCTAGTGCTTTGATATTTTAATTTATATAATTCCTGAATTTTAATAGACATGAAATTTATATAATATCTTTAAAAATATTGAATATCAAGTAATATCTCTCTTAAACTTTTTTGATCCGGCAACAACAAGTCTTATCTTCTTGTCATCAATCATTTTTAAAATCAAGTTTTCTTAGCCTATTTCTTTATATTATCTTTATATTGAATTGTTTGGAACAGTAAATCAGTACGTGTTCATTTTTTTCCTGATATGGCACTATATAAGAATTATAATTAATAATAAATAATAATTATAATATTTTATTAATTTGATACTAGAATTAACAGAATAGTAAAAATGAACAATTCATAGAAATTTGATGAAATTATAAGAATCTTTTTCAAGATGATTTTTATTTTTTAAATCTGAGTCATTTTTCGTAAAATAAAATAAAAGCTTGTGTATTCTACTGTATTATAAAGTTTTCTTGTCTCTTTTATTTTAATATTTTTAATGGAAAATTCATGCTTTAGCTCGTTAATAAAACAAACGTACATTTTGTTCTAATGTGAAATTATATCATATTCCTTGTTTCAGATTATTTAGCAGAGCATTTGAAAAGTAAGAAGAAGAAACAAAGAATGTTACAAATTTGCTTTAATTAAGAAAGTCGAGTTTCAATATTTTAGCTCTTAATCAATTTTTTTAGTTTATTATTGTTCATTATTAGTTTACGATTTCTGTGACTGACTTTGATTATAATCTTATCTCATAATACAAGGTCTATTAGCTTGGATATCTTTAGAAATCTAATAGACTTTGTATTACGAGATAAGATTATATAGATCGAAGTCGATCACAGAAATCTATAATTAATTTAAAAAATAATTAATACCCATTGTAAAAAATTAATAACCATTGAAGATTAACCAAAGTAGATAAATAAACAATTAACTATAATCTTTTCTCGTAATATAAAGTCACGTCCATCATTGAAAATAATTAAAGAAGAAGATAAATATTACAGTCGATCATTTAATGCAGAGAGAATGATATAATTATTGTTATATTCCATTCCAGAAATATTTTATCGACCTTTTATCGAAATTGAATTTTATTCTTGGATAATTTTACCCAGGGCATCCATATTCCATTGAAGTGCTCAGGATAAGAAAGTGGATCCACTGTACCGCCCACTGGATGCATTGTAACTTTGTGGTATTCATCAATAAGTTTGTTTAATTCTTTCACAATCTGAAAGAAAAATTTATTTCTTAAGAATCACCTTTCAGTCTGAAATTTCAAACAATTTATTAACTTCATAGAAAATAAATGTATGCATATGTTAACTTATTGTGACAATAATTGTTGATTACCTATAATAACTTTTGTCTAGTGAAAAAAATTAACTCAAATTGTTAAGTTAATATAATTAAAAAGTAGATTATTTTTTAAGCATTTAAACAATTTCTATAAGTAAACAATATATTATATAATATGTGATACGAAATAAATAAATAATTTCATATCCTATTTAAATTCAAAAATGAAGAAAACAAATATAATATTAATCTTTTACAGTACGTATCTATTCGCATCACGTCTATCGTAACTTGAAAATTATAAGAAATTAGATTTATTATTCTTATTCAAAAACATGTTCCTTTAATCGTTAATGACAAGTATTATTAATTCTTTGAGGCATGATTGTGAAAAATGTTTCAATTTTTTAATGCAAAATCTGTATAGTAAGACTAAATCATGAAATTTAAAATAATTAAAATTACAAAAACTTTATTATTCAATATTTGCATAACTGTTTCATGAGTTTAGATATTTTTAAGCAAAGCAAATTGTATGCAGAAGCTGCTTGCAATTAGCGGTACAATTCAAGATTAACAATCGATCAAAAAACCGCCAGAATAACCATTAATAATAATTTTTTAGTAAACGTTACTAAAAATAATTTATAATGAACGACAAAAGAAGTAATTTCTCCAGACACGCTACTTTACTGTTATTCGTTACTTGGCTAAAATAGAAAATATAAAGAAAATAAATAGAAATTTTGATGAATAAAGATAATCACGTTATTATTTCAAAGAAATAAAATACATCATTACAGAATACGAGTCTTACATAACAATCTTAACAACGATCAGAGAAAAATGAACATACAAAATATAACATGCTAGAACCGTTGCTTCATCTAAAGAAGATAATGATGATTGATGATCTATAAGACCTATACATTGTTCAGAGTGTTACAGAGAGAAGATATGAAGATCATAAGAAAAAAATGATTTTCGTTAATTTTAATATTCAATTAAATCTCTACAGTAAATTAATCATAATATTTATGTATTTCAATAAATATAATATAGTATTTTAATAAATTTAACGTCACTTTAAAAAAAGGAACATTTTAATAAAAAATAAAATGATCAGAACGGAAAGAAGCTATAATATTTTAATAAAGATTATGTTTTAATAAAAGTATCTTTTAAAATTAAATTTATTATTTAATAGTTTACTAGTTCTTAAAATTATATTTTAATAGTATGTTTAATAGTATATTATTAATAAAATTATATTTTAATAGTATATTTAAACGCTGTTCTTAAAAAGAAATATTTTAATATAAAATAATCAAAATTGAGAGGAACTTATTAAGCTATATATAATATATTTAAGAAAATATTTGAAAATTAAAACTGAATAACTAAAAACAAATAAAATACACTCGTTATAATATTAATATTATACTACAAATATTACAAATATTAAATAATCCAATAATATAATATAATATTAATATTAAATATTAATGTCAATATGTCCCTTATAATAATATTTAAAAGATAAAACAAATGTGTGCTTAGATCTCACACTCTTAATCATTTTTATAAAAATATGAATTCGCAAAATTATAATGTTAATTTACAATTGATAAACTTTTTATTATAATAAAAAAGATTTATACTTGCATTTGGATATTGGAGGGACACGTCCGTAGTTTCGCAAGGGTCATTATAAATATCAAATAAACATTTTTCTAAGCATGTAGGATAACGTGAAAAATTTTGACAAACAACTGTTGCCGCTTCTCGAAGTTCAATTACATAATTAGTGTTTAATGTTACTTGTGAAATATTGGAAATCGCAGAACCCGCGAATGACCGCAAAACATTTGTTACATTGTACTCAGGATACAATTTATTCGTACCGCTGTCACCATAATAATCACCATCCTCAAGCTTTGCTCCTATAAATAAAAAGAAAAATTTAAAAAATTCACATTAATTTAGCTTGCTTTACTATTATTCGAAGTACAAATTCAGAAACCGATTTACATATATTTGTAATGCTTTAAACTATTTTTAAATCCTATAATAAAATAAATTTAGTATTTTTCCTATATTATAAAAAAATATAATTATATTTATAAACCCTATATTATAAAAAAATTAAGTATTTTTAAATCCTATATTATAAAATAAAAAATTAATTGAATTTATGAATAAATATTTTCCTCGCTATTGTAAAGATTACAAGTATCAGAATAGTTATAGAAAATAAAGATTACATGATTGGATTTTTATAAAAGTTAACATTAACAAGTTTTATTTGATTATCGGACTATGCAAAGCATAAATATACTTGCTCTTTTCCAGCAATTAAATGTTCAATTTATAGATATTCGTGAGAAATTGTTACAATACATATATATGATATAAGCGTTCATACAAAGCGATACTTTTAAGTATCTAATCAGTATGTAAAGAATTAATTACCATTAATTAATTTGTACTTTCCCATTAAAGCCCCAGAGAGAAGCTCATCGATATTCAACAATAAGTTTTTACGCGTGGTTTCTTTTCCAGAGATGATAGTGGCCCATTGATCAACACCATCAAGATTTTCCCCTAGATCCTCCAAATTACCGCCGGCAGCTGAGTAAAACGTTGGTAGCCAGTCAGTTATGTGAATCAATTCGTTAGAAATCCTAGAGGGATTTTTTATTAATGGCGAATAAATGCACGCTGTTCCGCGAATTCCACCCTCGAACAGTGTGAATTTCAACTGAAAATAGAAATTGAATGACAATAGAGAAACTAAACGAAGTATTAATTTTTCTTCTTCTTTTTAAACAGCAGATTTCCATGTCGAAGTTTTCATTGTATCAACAAACTTTGAAATTACTCTCTAGATGCTAAATATTATCCAACAATAATTAGGATATAAAAATAAAAATATTGAATGTTATTGTAAATTAACTGTAAAATACTGTAAAGTAATTAACTGTAAATTGTTACTGTAAATTAAAATGTTGAATTGATTTTCATTATATTTACTTTGAAATTAGTTTCTAGATATTAAATGTCATCTAACAGTGATTAAAATATAGCGACAAAAATAAAAATATTCTAATTATAATATACAGAATAAATGGAACAAACTTTCAATAGTTAAAGCAGTAAAGTAATATATTAAGAACGAAGGGAATTAAAACAGGTAAGAGTGATTGTGAGAGAGAATAAAGGAAGGATAAAAGTGAGTGATAAAATAGCATTCTATGTATGTATAAGACATTGTAAACCAAGTTCAATTCCTGGCTCTGAGTCTGAATAAATCATGAATAACACCAATAAGACAAACTTTTACTAGATTCTGGTTCTTTAGTAACATTCGTAAAAATTTTAGAACGCATGAAATCCCAATTATAAAAAATATATGCAATTTTCAAATTTTATTACTTAAGATAAACCTTGAATATTAAAAATAAAAAGTGTCTTGAATATTAAAAATAGAAAAAGACTTGCGAACAGAAGTCGATAAAATAACCTTATAATTTCATTACCCCACGCAAAGGATAGTTTGATCCATAATTCTCCAGCAATCCCACAGTCGGTGCACCGTTATCAGACATGAAAACAATAATCGAATTTTTCAGCATGTCCGCTTCCTTCAACGCTTGGACCACCTTGCCAACTGATTCGTCCATGGCAGTAACCACACCTGAAAACAGAATACGAGCATTAATCGATTAAAATTTTTCGTTTGATCGATCGATCGATGTTTACGATTAATAAAATTAATCGTCGAAAAATCGACGACTAATTTAATCGGTCAATAGTGTTAGTCGTTAATTGTCAGTTGTTAGTTATTACATCGAATTTGTAATTATAATTTCATTTAAATTGAAAACGCGCTGTAAAATTGTAAGAAAGCATATTTAACCTCTTGCTATCTGTAATGACGTGCCACGCACGTCGGCAATATTTGGCGCAAAATTGCAATATTTTCTCAGTTTCAAGTATATTGAAATATAACCCGGGAAAAACAAATAATAAATTTATTATCTCTTAGTAATTTTTACCCAGTGACATACTGATGAATTCAAAAAGAAAACGAATTATTGTATACGGTTTGGTCACTCGTTATGGTCCGCGAACCAGTTACTAGCGCAAGAGGTTAATCGACATAAAACATATTTCTGTTTTATACATACTGTCGAGAGGCATAGAACTGCAAACCTAATTAAATTGCTTTGAACTCCATTAGATAATGATAAAAAATTTTATTTCTTCGTATTAATATTATTTCATTGTTTACAAACTTGCTTTATCATTATCGCAAGCTATTTTAATTCTTAACCACAAACAAGAGGATAGAAACACTGATTTCATTGCAAAAGGAATTTCAACAATTAATCATTGAATCAAAGGAACTTAATTGGTAATCCCCAAAGAATACCGCGAAACGAAAATTATACCTACTGTGTAATCTAAGGTAAGATTAAAAAAAAAAAGTCAAGATCTTTTTGGGAAGTGTTTTTACCCCCAGATTATTAAATTAATTAAATTAATAATTGTATTGCGTATACTGTTTGAAGCTTTATATAATTTTCTAATGTCTCCTTTCTAGTGAAGATGATGCGAGAGAAATTTTATTTTCGATTACCCAGTTGATATGAATTACAACATAAATTTCAATTATTAAACTAAACTTTAAATTTCATTTAAGGATTAAGAAAAAAAAATTGTTCTGTTATTAACTATATTCGTAAGTGTAAAGATTCCAAATCTCTTTCCGGAATTTTCTTCAAACAAAATACTGTGCGATTGTCGTCAAACACCTAACAACAATTAACGATTAAAGTTAGAATTTAATCCTTAATCATTTATCAAAAGATACTTAAACTAATGCAATTAACGAAATTAATTGAAGTAGGAATTTAATCGTTATTTATGATTAACAACTATGGTTGAAGAAGAGATCAGATTGTTAGCAATGATTGTTAGCAAAATTTAATTGTTGATCGTTGATTAATTTTCTGCTCAACTCATTTTCATAGTACAACGATAATTAATAGCTCGTTTGTACGATCTAATTGTCCACTTGTAGCGTTATCTACCTGCAAATTTTCTCCGATTGAAATCGTCGATGTAGCCTAACGTGGCGTTTGTTTCTTTCTCGTCACGAACCTCCATCACCGCTTTAGCATCGCTAGCATGAGCAGCAAGATGGGACAATTGGAGATAAAGAGGTTTACTGCGATCGTGATTCGAAATAATGTCCTGGGCACGTTCTGTTATAAGGTCAGTCATATATTCGTAATTGTACATGACGGATATGTTTCCTGGAACGTCGTAATGTAGATCGTATCCAACGTGGGACTGTGGAAACACGTTGCGGAGCGATGAGCACCACTCGATGTTCCCGAGCACTATTCTAACCTCTTGCGCTGGAATGACGTGCCACGCACGTCGAGAATCCTTTTGTACCAAATTGCAACCATTTTCTCAGTTATAAGTTTATGTACTATATTACTTCTTAATAATTTCTCTCCAGTGATGTACCGACGAGTACAAAAGAAAAAGAAAGCGACGGATTATTGTGTACTGGTTCGGTCGCTCGTTATGGTCCGCGAACCAGTTGCCAGCGCAAGGGGTTAATGATATTTTTTTCAAAAA